GTATAGCAGAGCATAGTAGAGTAGAGCAGAATATAGTAGAGTAGAGCAAAGCAGAGCAGAATAGAGTAGAGTAAAGCACAGTAGAGAGTAGAGTAGAGCAGATTATAGAATAGAGCAGAGTATAGTAGAGTAGAGCAGAGCAAAGCAGAGCAGAATAGAATAGAGGAGACCAGAGTAGAGCAGAGCAGAATAGAGTAGAGAATACAACAGAGTATAGTAGAGTAGAGCAGAGCAGAATAGAGTAGACCAGAGTAGAATAGAGCAGAGTATAGTAGAATAGAGCAGAGCACAGCACAGCAGAATAGAGTAGGGCATAGTAGAGCAGAGCAGAGCAGATTATAGAATAGAGCAGAGTATAGTAGAGCAGAGCAGAGCAGAATAGAGTAGAGTAGAGCATAGTAGAGTAGAGTAGAGTAGAGAAAAGTAGAGTAGAGCAGATTAGTGCAAACTAGATCGGAGTAGAACAGAACAGAGCAGAGTAGAGCAGAATATAGTAGAGTAGAGCAAAGTAGAGCAGAGTAGAGTAGAGAAGAGTAGAGTAGAGCAAAGTAGAGCAGAGTAGAGTAGAGTAGACCAGGGTAGAGTAGAGTAGACCAGAGCAGAGACTTTGGACCACAAAATTATGGGGTTTAACTACTGACCATTCCATTTTGTCACTACCAAAATGATCATGTCACTACCGAAACTTTACCATAGGTTTCGGTAGTGACTGTTTCGGTAGTGACATTCCTAGCTATTTTTCAGGATAACTAAAGAATGCTAGCAGTCACATGGCTAACAAGCACATGTCTGAAGAGTTGTTCACACAGAAAAACATAATATTTTGCATAAACCCCCCAAATTTTTACATAATTGAAGAGAACATGTGTTCGGTAGTGACAATTTTAAAAGTTACACACTGATTTTCAGACTTTGGAAGACATTTATTTAAAAAATGATGGGAGTCAGCGACTTACCATGCAGCCATCTGGGACGGGGGTGCAGTACTACCCCCCTTCTCAGAAATTCAGGGGTGTGGCTAAAATCCAGACTCAACCAGTGCATTAAAACTCTTGTGTTTCGGTAGTGACATGAAAACAAGGGACACTATTTTTTTAGCATAGTTTCTTAATTTAAAAATTAATCCCACAATACATCTAAATCTTTCAACTTCTGTTTAAACTTAATCACAAAGATGTTTTAAATTAGACTTTTGAAAAAAATATGAAAAATGTTTTAAGTGTTATTTACATCATTTGAATTTTAGAGGTCAGGGCTGGGGACAGCTACTTCCCAATAGAAAGTACCCTATAAATGGTGATTTTGTATATATTTAGCTTATCACTTTCTCATTTAATGTCCTGGGTTTAAATAGGTCATAACATAATCTTTGTAAATATCTATGTCTGAATACTCAATTTTATTATTTTTGTTGTTTTTTTGGTAAGGGACAGCACTTTGCACAAAATCGGTAGAATGCCCCATATAAGAACAGAAAGCAAAATATCACTAAATTAAAAACAATTAGAAACTTCTCAACAAGCACTGTCACAGTGCACAGTCTAGGGGAGACTGGGGATAGCTGCATTGCATTTCTCTCAGTCACGCAGAGATTATTTAGACTAAACCAACCTTTATATATAAACTAAGCACAAAAAGTAAGGAAATTTGTGTTTGGTAGATTATTTCTTTGTTGTAACAGTGCAATAAATCTTATTGGAAAGCCTTTTTATTTCCCTTTTTAATGGTGCCACATTTGTAAGGAACATGCATTTTGTGGGATGAGCAGAGAGCAGCAGCAGAGACTATGTGGGTTGTGCCCATGAAAAATTTGCCAAATCTTCTCTGCCAATGCCAAACAGCGTTTTTTGCTGTTGACTCATTTGGTGGATTGGATGACTGAAGTATGAAGAAACAAGACATATTGGCAATTTAACAATTTATTCATTTAACAAACAGGAGCCTCAGTGGGGTGTGGAAGAACCATACAGCCTGGCACCTCCTTCTCATACTGGTCACCAGCCTGGTCACACACTGCTGTGGGATGGCATCCCATTCTTCAACCAGCATTTGTCGCAAGTCAGCCAACATGGTTTTGGCGAGGCTGCCTCCAAAACAGAGTAAATCATAGGCGTTTCTAGCCCATTTTTGGGGGTGCTGAAGCACCCCTAAATTGAATCCCAGCACCTCTAAAAATTGAGAGATTTTTTGTTACTGTATGTCCTTTTTTAACAAGCTAGAAAAGTGTCAAAACCATACAGTACTTGGTTGAAACGTAATATTTTCACAACAAAAATACAACAGCTTTTTTTGAAGTGTATTTTTATTTATGTATTTGTATTATATAATACAGACAAGAAGGAAAAAGGCAGAGACCAACATTGAAAAAGTCAATAACTGTTAGTTAATGTTACATGTTGTGCATTTCATTTCAAATTAAAGTCCAAAAAGTAAGCCCAAGGTCCATTTTTGGTATTTTTGGTACTCACTATAGGGGGCTGGTTTACTCCAGAAACATACATACTGTTTATGTGTATGTTGAGGAGTTGCTGTATCAAAATGAGTTGTCTTCCCCCAGAAATTAGGGTTACGATACGTTTCTTTTATGATTCCAATCCATTCCTCTTTTGCTGTGGCTCAGCATTTAAATAACCTTTATCAGATTTGATGGTTTAGTCACAGACTTTCCCAAAAAGTGTTGTGCTTTTTTTTCACAAATGTGGGAATGAAATTGCATTAAAATGTACAAAACAGTGAAATTTATCTTGCCTGGCCGGGCAGCTCTCTGGGTGCTCAGCGCCCCTAAAGCTCTGATCCTAGAATCGCCCCTGGAGTAAATCCTCATAGACACCCACGTTTAAATGCACAACTTTATTGCAGACATAAAAAATGGTTTTAGTCTCTATAGCTAATTTTAACATTCATGACAACAGTACAGGGTGTTATTTTTTTCATAATGTACCCATTTACATTTCATTAAAGCTCAAGGTTATGCATATTCAAGGGAGGGGCTGCTACCGTGACAGGCCATCTGTAAGGCCTTGCTACAACAGATAACACCACTCACTCCTCCACAGCTCCAACCACTCGTCCAAATAAAGTCACTTCGGGTTAAAAAAAACCCCAAAATGACGATGGCCGAAATGCCGAACTTGAGGCTTCAAAATGGGAGTTTACAAACCAGTGGGTGACATCATGGTAGTTGTGTCCATTATTTATACCATCTGTGGTTGCAACTGATCTCAATCCTGGGGACAGTTCCAACAGCTTGTTCTCATTCCAAAGTCATCAAATACCGTCGCTTTGTCAGTGATTTTGACCTCAGATTCCTGAAGCCAAAAGCCAGCTTTTGTGGTGGTACAATATGCGGCAGGGCAGCGTGAGAATGTAACTGGACGTAACCTTTTGCAGTGTTATGATACACTGCCCGTCTGCCAGATGGCACCTGTCACGGCTTTATGATACGCCTCTAGACAGCATCAGGTTGAAACTCTGCCCGTAATGACGTAATATAAGGAGCTGGAAAGTCCCTACAGGGTGGGTGTGAGGGTTGGTGGATGGGTTCAGCAAACCCCAAACTTTCACTCAGAAGCCAGGTGGTTGCCTTGTGAATGTGGACCCCAAACCAAGATGTTTTCTTCATACCCAACGACATGCTGTTGTAGCCTGAACCTAACCATGTGCTTTTGTTGATGTCTGCGTTGGTAGTGGCATTCTGGAACGTTAGTTAACAGCTGACGCAGAAGGATACCTGGTGCATAATAGGTAGACGTAAACGACCACTGACAAACAGGCAATATGTGACGTCTTGGGATGAAAACGTGTTGCAATGTGTTAAAAATGATCTTCTGATTGGAGGAATAAGAGCTGTTGCAACTTCCCCGTGTTGTAACAGGCCCTAGTCTCCAGAAATTGTACCAATGTTTGGTGCCAGGAGGAGGAAGAGATGGATGTTAATAAAAAAGAAGAGTCAATAAAGTGTTTAATGAGTAGCTATGAAAATGCTGTGAGTCATATACTATACCCTGTAAAAATCACGTGAGGCGATATCTTTTGGAAGAATGGTGTTCATCCCTCTAGCAGCACTGAAGCTGTCCAAGTTTGTTGTAGTCCAACACACTACTAAGACACTTTGTACAGTCATGTCCTACTATTCCCTAACATATCCAATCTATTTCTATGTAGAGCTGCACAATATGCAAGAAAAAAATCACATTGTTTATATTTTTGATAGATACTGCAATGATGATATGAGTTGAATTTTAGTGGGAATAGTAATTCTGCACTCCATTTTCACTGATAAAAATACAGAAATGATGATGTAATTTTTTGCTGGGGTCTGTATGAAACAAGCATGATCCCTTAGGTCTGGAATATGATTTGTAGGCCTGCTGCGATTTGGATATTGCACTTGGCCATACTGTGATTTTGATAGTATTTCAATTAGTAGTGCAACCCTATTTCTGTGCACTATGCAGCTTGAAATGTGAACTCACACATACTGGCTAACATCCTTTAAGCAGCACAAAACCCTGGGACACACAACAGCCACCTCTTACAGCCCTCTATAACAACACCATAGGTGAGCAATTTACAGGGACAATTTACTGCCAGACCTTGACACATCATTTGAGCACATACGTATGTGCTTCATGTACAAGCATGTCACCCTGAGCACATCATTTCTGGTGGCCAAGATATCTAACTTTACTCCCAGAAAATACACATTTTCTATCCTCTCTGCATCAAGTTATTACTTTCTCTGGCAGAACATCTGATGTCCAAGTCTGCACCACGTTGAAAGCATACACTGAGTGTCTGGTAGGTTTTTCCATTACAGGGAGCAATATGTTTTAGATTTGTAGCAGCAGTAACAGCGGTGGTGTGTTTGGAATAAATAGCAATATAATCCTCCATGGGAATAAACAGAGGAGGATCAACTGTCTGGGAGGTTACCATGAGCAGCGATTATTGCATCAAGGCTGACATGTTTTGGCTCAAATAATAGTCATGCATTCAAATTATAATTGCAATTAATATATCCACTTTATTGCACACATTTTAAGAACGTAACCACTGGGGAAGAAATCTAGAAATCTTATTCATTTCCCATCAAAACAGACTCAGACAAAATGAAATCTGAATGCCCTGGTATGAAAAGGATACTTGAGAGGACAAAAGCCACCAGGGCATCACAGACAAATTAAAGAGCAACATCTACAGAAACTCCCCGCAGTGTTTGACAGGTGATCTTTAGGACATGCAGTGCAAAAATAACCACTTAGGACCGAAGACAACACCAAAATAAAGACGCAGATGACTACTTCAAGAACTGTGCAGCACTGGCTGTATAAAGGAACCAGCAGAGAGAACACAGGCTTCAGTGGAGCCCTCTGGTACCTGATGGGTGAGGTACACACCGAAAGTGACCTAAAAAAAAAGTATAAAACAAGGAAAGTGATTCACCTTATATGCACGTCCTACACACACACACACACACACACACACACACACACACACACACACACACACACACAGAGCATCTACATAAACGAGCAGTTAATTGTTTTTGACTGACCTTATTGCGGTAGGCAGAGAGAGACATTAGTGGCTCTTTTGTTTTGGTCCCAGTCTCCTGGTCTACTCCGATCATCTGGCATCTTCCACACTGCCCTACGACCTTGTGTTAATCACACAGAGAGCACATTCATTTTTGAGATATCCGCTTTTAATGCATCTGAAGATTTTATCATGTATCTCAAAGTGTCAGCTCACCATGAATCGAGTGTTGCCAATAATCAAGTGTGACCAATTATCCTCCTCAAATGGTTCTACCCCAGCGATGACTAAATTGGCTCGGAAGCGGCTAATGACATTCTGTGTGTCAAGGAGCTGATCGCCCTCGGAGTCGTCCTGCCTGAGAAAGGGAATGTGCAAATTGCATGTTATTTTGCAGCGCTACGTAAATTATCCACAGTAATGTAAATGTACAGGCGTTGACGGATCCTGATACTTTTCACTCGAGCATTGCGTATTTTGAATACCACATCATGTCTTCAAACCTGCTCCTCATTAGTTTCTGAATGAGCTCCACACTGGCACGGTTGATCATGAGATACTGAGCTTCATTCACGAGGGAGAGGGATGTGGAGGTGGCAGCTAGAAGGGAAAGACTTTATATTACCCCAGTGATTTGTTCAATTTGAGGAAAACATTGTGATCTCTGGTTTGCGCAGCCTGCATCCTCACACAACCTGAAAGCTGAGGTTCTGCTGTAATACAGAGGAAGAAAAAGTGAGTGCGACTTGAAGAGATTTGTCAATATTATTAAAAACTCACAGTTAAACATACGTGATGTGGAGGTGGACGATATGGATACAATTTTCTACCACTGTGTATGTAATTTTACACAGCAATATCAATCTCAACATTTAAGCCAACAAGAAGTCCTTGAAATGCTCCAAAAAAATGTAAAGTTGAACATCTATAATTCACTGATAACCAGACAAACTCCACAAAGATTGTGCGATATGATCAAAAGCTACAGAACAGCTACTAAATGGACCTCGTTATGAGACATTCTGTCAAATAGCAATATATACATCATGATATGGTAATTATTATGGAAATTGAATGGATAAATTGTTAATGGATAAAATAACAAGGTGGAAATTAGCTCATCCAGTGAAAAACCTGAATAACTGAGACAATTCATCATATTGATGTTAAAAAAAGAACCCTGTGAATTCAACAATGCCATAAAACAGAGCAGCTCATTGATCCAACATTACCAGCAAAAGCATTATACAGTTATAGATATTAAAGGGACATTTCACACATGAGGGTCAGTATATTTGTCGTGAGGAGGACTAGTCAGACTGTGAAAATAGTTACATAATGTCTCCCGTGGCTCTGAAGGGAGATTTTTAAAGGCTGAGAGAATAATCTTGATGATGTCATCTGGGTTACATCAGCTTGGATTTGGAGTCTACAAATATTTAACAGAAAGCCCGGCATTACAAACGATGGAAGATATGGGCATTTATCAGACAGGCTGGGTCAAATGAAATGATGTATTGGCTGCATAATGGGAAAGGTACGATCCAGCATGACTCATACCAGGGACTGACAGTCGAAATACATAGGACATGGATGCAGCACAACACATCTGCTGCAACACGCCCACGGCAGAACGTATGCATTATAATCAACTGAAGCTGATACACTGACCACAGAAGCCACACTTGTCCATGCGGGCCCGGAGCAACTCACCGCAGCCCTCTAACAGATAAAAACGACATAGATTTGTGTAAAATACATGTGCAGTCAGTTTAAAAAAGATTAAAATGAAAACCTCATTGTACCAGAGGCAATGCAATGCAGCAGAGCAACCCTGTGGGTTACTCTACTACAACTCCCAAAGTTTTACCCCAGTATCTATGTATTTCTATGTCCTAAGCATTTTCATTACCTTGTTACTACAAAATAAAATCATAAGATTTGACGAATTAGTGGTCCTAGCTCGCATGTTAGATCGTAGATCAATCATGTAAGGGCAAGTGCAAACGAGTGCTCTCAAAGTCGCATTTAAGTTTAGATTTCCAGTCATGCCCAGGCTGCATGTCAGATAAGAGACCACCTGCTAGCGACTACATTCCACTCGACAATGAGACTGACTTGATGGAAGCGGTAAATGGCGTCCCACAGCAGAGAGGGTGAGTAATGATTCAAGGTGATACAGATTTGTCACAGGTAACTGCGCGGCAACCTGTACAGGGTGTCCCTGCCTCTTACCCAATGTCAGCTGGGATAGACTCCAACCCTCCATCAACCCTGAACAGGATAAGCGGCTGCAGATAGTGAATGAATGAAGTTGTAAAGCAGACCTTGTTTTTATATTGTATACATGTTAAGAAGAAATACACTTCATAATCCTCAGAGTTCTGACTGCTTGCTTTTTTATTATTAGCATTTACTTGTATTTTTACTCTCAGTTCTTAAAGTACGGTAATATCAGACACTTTAACACTTAAATATTATTCTAATAGGTGACTTTAACTTTTACCAAAGTCATTTTCTGGTAAGATATCTGTACTTCTGTACTCAAGTATGACCTGTAGGTACTTCATCCACCACTGATTATATTTCACATTAACATAAATCAATCAAATCAGTGCATCCTGTGGTTAAAACGATCCAGTGAATTAATTCAGTACCAATTAATATAGCCTACATGCTTTCGAACCGTGCGTAATCAACTGCATATTAAAGGGAAATTTCGGTTTATTTCAACCTGTCTCCTATCGTCCTAAATTTGTTTCAAGTGACTAGTGACATAAAAATAATAGTTAGCATGTTAGCCGTTAGCCTAGATACAGCCAGGGCGCATAGTAGCGTCAGACCTGTTAAAACATAAGTGAACGGGCATACTTTAAGTGCAAAGTTAGTCCACTAAACAAGCTTTTTTTCCACAAAGACCGCCTCATATCGTTATGATAAATGTCAAAGAACATATAGAAAACGACATGTAAACGTGTTGTCTTACCTTACTGGTGTGGTGCCATGTTTGTTTACCATTTAGCTCTGCTTTCCAAAGCGTGGCCGAAATATCGTGAGAACAAACAGCGATTGCATACCCTGCCTGAAATCTCGCGAGAACAAGCAGCAACAGCTGGAAGGCAGAACCAGACAGTAGCCTGAAAAGTTCATTCATTTATTTTATGAAACATTTATAGAATAATGGCTGACTTATTGCCAGACTTCAACTTTGTGGAGGAGGAATTTGATTTTGCAGAGTTTGATGGCCGCCCTTATTTATTTGAGCCAGAATACACTGACGAAGAGCTTCGTGAAGTTGAAGAACTGAGGAGGAGAGAGAGAGACGCAACAGGTAGAGGACGACAGAGGAGGAATGGCTGCTGCAAGGCTGAGTAGCTCTGGAGATTGGTGGTGTACCTGTGAATGCTGTGCCCCAATGCTCACAGAAGAGGAGTGCCTCTGTTGCAAGGAATGCGACCGGTTGCAGCCTTATTTTCAAGGTCTGGATATGACCAAGGATGAGACACCTCCATCTGGAGTAGTATCCAGCTGGGCTTTATCTAGAGCTCGCGAGATTTCAGGCACGGTATGAGATTGCTGCTTGTTCTCGCGATATTTCGGCCGCGCTTTGGAAAGCAGAGCTAAATGGTAAACAAACATGGCAGCACACCGGTAAGGTAAGACAACACGTTTACATGTCGTTTTCTATATGTTCTCTGACATTTATCCTAACGATATGAGGCAGTCTTTGTGGAAAAAAAGCTTGTTTAGTGGACTAACTTTGCACTTGAAGTATGCCTGTTCACTTACGTTTTAACTAGGGATGTAACGATACATCGATCCACATCGATACATCGATTCATTGATTAACGATCCAATTACATCAATGCAAAATGAAAACATCGATCCATATCATCATCTTAAAGATATACCTTTATTTTGAAATTCACATAGCACGTCTGTGTCACCATTTTAGTGAACAGGTCTATTTTTGTTATTTTTTTGTTACAGAAGAATACTGTTTTTCATTTAAATGCCTGATACCTGGAAGAGCTCAGAAATAAAATGGTCAAATCATATTCTAGTTGTTTTTGTGAGTTGATGTAAATGATTGTGTTTGATGGGCATATGATATTGCGTCATATCGATCGCAGGCTCCTGAATCGAATCGAATTGAAATCGTATCGTGACAGACTTTGTGAAATCGGCAAACATCGTATCGTCATCCAAACAAATCGATATAATATTGTATCGTGATGAAGCTGGTGATTTACACCCCTAGTTTTAACAGGTCTGACGCTACTATGCGCCCCGGCTGTATCTAGGCTAACGGCTAACATGCTAGCTATTATTTTTATGTCACTAGTCACTTGAAACAAATTTAGGACAATAGGAGACAGGTTGAAATAACCCGAAATTTCCCTTTAACTTGGCAAAACTCAACACGTAACCAGCAGGCATGGCACGCAACCACACACTATAAAGACGAAGTCTGTGTATTTAGTAAAAACCCTGCTGTGCACAGCCTACATGATGCATCAGTGCCCCATGTATATCAGCTGTACAAGTCAGGGTATTTCAGGAGACAGATTTGGAGAAAGACGAAATCTGTGCAGCACAGGTAATCCCAATTTTTAGTCCTTAGTTTAAGTCAAGCTCCAAAAACACAAGAGCCAACACTTCCCAGAATGCAACCTGATAGTATCTCTTCATTAGATCCTCCCTGGCTGGTAAATACTCACAGCTTTCAAATATTCTCATTGCCAGTTTGTAACGGCTTTGTGTTGAAAATCTCCCTCTAAGCCCGAGCTTAGCTATCATCAGGGTAATTTTCCCAGACTTGACAGAGCTCCTTCACAGGCTGAGTACAACAAACCATAACACAAAACCTAAAATACACATATAAAACTATCGAAGTACTAATGGCTACCTTGGTATATCAAAATGTTTTACAAATATATATTGTCTGATGGTATATATCAGTGCCTCCACAGCCCTATGAGAAAAACTCAAGTCTTCCTTCATAGACATCAGCAGTCAAGTTCCAAGTATGTTTATCTAAATGTGACAAACTAGATATTATTTAGCTATTAATGATTAATCTCACTGTATATTCAAAAATTAATATATATAGTTGTATCACACAACCCCAACCTGAATGTACATTTTCTTTCATGTAATAAAACGGATGCTTTTAAACAGAGAAAGTTGCAAATGCAGAAAAAAATAACATTTCTAAATACCAAGTGAGCAGCAGAAGGTAATGTAAGGTCACAACCACAACCAGGTAGTATTAATAGGATATGTGACCTGGGGTGGAACAATATTACAGATAAATTCAGGGTAAAGATATAAGATCCTGGCAGAAAAGATTCTTATATAGGTACCTCCACTAGGTCTCTTCATGTCTCGGGTAAAATCAGGACTTTGTCTTATCAGGCGGCATGGCTGTCCAAGAAATTCTGAGAGCCATGATGCAGCCTCATCCCCACAGTCGACAGTCTCCACCCTGGGGGAAGGAGGAGGATTACTGTATGTTCTGGAGGCCCAAGGGAAATACAGAGTTTGATGCTGCTTGCTATTGGTGCGACATCTAATCCAAGAATCTGTGGATGAATAGCTTTTTTTTTAACTTGTGACTTATCATCTGGGTATCTGAGGAGATCAATATCATCGCTTGCTTGTTGTTTGTTTTTTCAATAAAAGCGGTGAATAACATGATTTTTTTAATTAAATTGAGAGGAGACCTTATAATGCCATCCACTGTAGAAAGGCAGCATCAAGAACAATGGAGTGAGAGAATGCATCGATATGGGTAAAAATACACAACAAATGATATGTGTCACCGTATATCCTGCAGCTTTCAGATCTTTTAACATTGCCAGCTCACCTGTCACCGCAAACTTTACTCTGACACACCTGATACCTTGTGTGCATTTTATTGTTGCTTTCCAAGGGAACTGAAATGGTATCCATCCCTGCAGGGCAGTGGGAAAAAAATATAAATCCTCTTTGGCTGAAAATCCAACTGATTGAAATTTCTTTTAGTTAAGCAGTGTGTTTATTTTCAGTGAGCCACCGACGGACTGTCTGACCTGATGCCTGCAGGAGCAATTTGTTTGAGGGCAGGCAGACTTGTGGGTGAATGAGGCATAAGCGTGGCTCTCTCTTCTGACTCAGGCACACGCCGTTTCCATTCACTACCATCCAGCTTCTGTCATACAGTAAACCCAGTGGTCCCACCGGCCAGTTGTGGACCTGCATGAAGAATGGCACAGAGTCAAAGCAAAGCAGAGGGAAAGAAATAGGACAGAAAGGGACAAAAAAGAAGTGAAAGAAAGAATTGTTTGGGTTATCCTCAAACCTCGTAGGCGCCACATGATTTGATGGGATATATGAAAATGTTGGTCAGAGTATAAGCCTCTCTGTGTGAGTCTCTGTGTCCAAATCCTCTCAATGACGCTTCTGCAGGCTTCTCCTTCTCATCTACTTTACATATTTCTCCATTAGTGATTTTGATTCCTTCATTTAGGCTCTGGGTTGTTGCTGTGGCTTTTTTTAGCTTCTCTAGTCTCACTTGGTCCACTGTGACTGGTTTCTCCACAAAGCACTTGGCAACAAAGTTCAGGAACTTTTGACAGTCTTCAAATGTCGACATGTAGCCAAAGGACACACGTACAGATCCGGTCGGCTGGCCGTCCACCAGGTCGATGGTGTCTCCACAGACATGGCCAGCCTTGAAGAGAAAAAGACACTGTTTTATTCTACCTTCACATGATCTTAACAGACTTTGACATTTTTCCTACTCCACGATCACTAACCTGCAGGTTCCTCCTCATCTGCTGATTGGTGATCCCAAGGAAAAACTGACAGGCACCGGTGTTACAGAAGCAACCTGTGCGCACATGGATATTGTAAAGACTGGCCATTCTGTCCACCTGAGGGCAACAGAGGAATTGTTTTCATTTTCACCAGCACTGCCTACGCATAAACATGCAGTAATTTAACTACAGTCAAACAGAAAGAAATCCTTTTATTGAATGTACCTGAGAATATCCAATTATCTGTCCGTGAGAATCCTTAATGTTGAAGTTAAGGATTGCGCCCTGTGTGCTTGGACTCTCAAACTGGCCTTCGGTGTATATCTGAGCCACTGGTCGCCCGTTGCCATGGCAAAGACTTGACAGCAGCATGTAAGTGTAGCGTGCCAAGCCAAATGTGTGCTGTTGGATGTTGTGCATGCCCCCTGAAGGCAAAAAGGGAAGATGAAGAGATACTATTGATGTTAACCTGAATCAGATCATGAGTAACTTGTATAATGATTCTGCTATTAAACAAGTGTTTAATGTTTTCCCATGAATGCTCTTACATTACCTGTGATCCTGTTAAGAGCTTCAAAACCATGATTTAAAGCAATGATATCTAAGAAAGAGACAGTCCCGTCTTCAAATCTTTATCAAGAAGGGAGAAAACAGTGCATTTTAGACGACAATGCAGCAGCTATAGAAGTGTAAGCTTTCAGAAAATAGCCAAGATTTGGCAGGCTGTATAGTACTTTACCTGTCAGAAATGTTTGCCACCTGCACATAATAATCTTCTCCAGAAAGGTAAGCTGCTGCTGTGCCTCCTCCAAAATAAGTCTTTTTTAGTATGCCTGCTGTGTCGTTACGGACAAGAAGGGCCCCCAGACCTGTGGGGAAGCCAAACATCTTATAGAAGGAGATGGGAATGAAATCAGCAGGGCACTCCTGTAGGTTTAGAGGGGAACAGCTGACATGAGATGCTGCATCGAGCAGCACAAACCAGCGGCCGTGGTGGCCACACGCTGGGTAAAGGCGTCTCGCCTGGATGCCTTTCACATGGCTAAGGGGATACTTCCTCCCTGAGAAGTTGCTCTGTGCTGGATAGCAGAAGAGGTGCGGTGTCTGGCAAATAACATCTTCACCTTGAGCTTCATCCTTTGCCCTGTTTTCCACTTCCTGCGGGGAGACAGGCAGGGCAACCACCCCCTGGCCAGAACTCAGTCCTCTTATGCCGACTACAGAGGTATGGCTGTCAGTGAGGTAGGAGAAGCAACTCCCTGCTTCGCTCTCAGTCTGTGGTCTCCAGGGAAAGCTCTCAGCCACTAATTTGAGTGTGGCTGTACAACCAGAAGTGAAAATCACAGAGTACTCCTCAGGGGTGGCGTTAAAATGCTGCAATACCCTGTAAGAAAATGTTCTGTTTTTCACTCATTTGATCCAGCAAAGTACCATTCAAAGGAGTCGCAGGGGCCTATTATAAATGCTTCTGAGGGCATGAATGGAGTTTACCTGTATCTGACCCTCTCCACTGTGTCATGCGTCAATCTGCTGCTGGGGTTATGGCTGTGAGGGTTTCCTATTGGGACATATAACAATACTTAAATGCTTTGAGTTTTATGACTGAATAAAGAATAAATAAACTCATAAAAGTAACGTTTGAAAATTTAATGTGACTTCTCTCACCGTACACATTCCTTGAAATGTCCTGGAAGTAGTCCCTGACCAGAGACTCAGGGTACAGAGTAGTTGCTGCATGATCCAGGTATGTAATTCCTATTTGCAACACAAGAGCAGCCATGTAAGCGGTCAGACAGCGACACCGAGCCTGTCACTACTGCTCATGACTGAACACAAACTTTACCTTTAATCCGTGTGAACTCCTGCTCAATCACGTCTTGGAAGTTTTCTCCATAACCGTAGTGACTCCACAGCTGCTTGAAGGTGTCAAAAGTGCAAAGTTTTTGGAAATCCATCGACCGCTTTCGGCTGCAGAGAGCTACGGAGCAGACCTTGGGGCAGCTGCAGGCGTTTCAACACAAACAACTACTTTTATACTCATTGACAATTTTCAGGGTCGAAGTCCGGTGATCAGCGGCTGAGCTTTAAAGTCCTCCTCCCTTTGCAGCCCTCGTGCATGCAACCCTCGAGACTGTTTACTGGCATGACAGTGGTGTAGCCATGTTGACATAATAAGATTTTGTCGAAGTGGAAACTCGGCTGTAATGGAGCCATGTTTGTAGTAACTACTTCGCAATCACGTGACAAGCTTTTTATTTTTTTTAAACTACATTTCCTCCACTACCATGGGCGGATTATGATATAATGGGCCCCTGGGCACAGATATGCAAAGCCCCCCCCCCAACTTCTCATAGGAGCAAGACACACAGACTTGTGGTGGTTTTGCATCTCCTTGTAACAGTTATGCATCGTTTTGTGGTTTTGTGTCTCTTTATGGCCATTTTGTGTCTCCTTGTGGTTGTATTCTCTTTTTGTAGTTCTTTGGGTCTCTGAGGTGATTTTCTGTTTATTGAGGTAATTTTATGTCTCTGAGGTAGGGTTGCGGCAATATACTGGTTTTAAGGTATACTGTGATATAAAAGTTAATGGTTATCATACCATGTACATTTGCTTATCTACGCTATTGAAAAAAAAAACCCCATAATCTCCCTTTTATTTTTGTTGTTTTCAAAAAGGAGACCTTTCACACATACTTCCATTAACAAAATGGCTTCAAGTTGAGATTATGGTAATAAAACGTTAATAATATTAACGTAAATAACCCTTTCATTTGTCAGTCATTGAAGGGTCTTTCTGACTGATAATACTTTAAATTCTGTAATAGCGTGATACTGTGAAACCACAATGTTTTCTGAGACAGTTATCGTACCATAAAAATCTCATACTATTGTAACCCTACTCTTGTTTTTTTGTTGTTGATGTTTCTTTGCGGCTGTTTGGTCCATTTTTTAGTTATTCTGTGTCTCTTTGCAGTTTCTTTGCATCTCGTTGTGGTCATTTTGAGTCTCTTCCTGGTCTCTCCTTGTTAATTTCAGTGACATTTTGCAAGTGAAGGCCAGGGGCCCCTGACACTTCGCGACCCCGGACCTGTGCCTTGAAGGCTCATTAGTAATCCATCCATGCCAACCATAACTTGTTATATTCTTGGGATAGTTTTTAGCATTTTGCTCTCAGGAACATTAGATAGTGTTAAATAAAGTGCAAATAGCAGCTAACCTGGCAGAAAAACACCAGTGAAGAGGAACAGGAAACTTATTTTCAAAATGGTAGTAAGACAAGTGATTATTTCACATCATTCAAGTGTACATTATATTAATAATATGTAAAAAGTATGGGTATGTATTTTGAAAAAATATGTGTTTCACACACTTAACAACTTAAAGTATGTGAATCTGAGTTTTTGGCACAATAATATTTATGTCTGTAATTCTGATGTCCATGAATGCAGGAGTGAATATTTTATTTTCATGTCTCATCATTTACACGACCTATCCCTCATGGGATTATTCAGACACTAACCAATAATGAACCAAACATCCAGTAAGTAAACCCGCCATCTTCCAACAGCACAATACATCCAGACATAAACACAAACACTATCAAGTATGCATCAGCAATATATACCTATATATTCAACATAAACATAACATAACATAACATAAACATAGGCTTTATAGCATCTATTGTAATTTTAAGTAATATGAAAATGTGGCTATGCAGTACTTTACAGGCATGTACAATATGAATAGCAATAATGAAGAGTCAGATACATTTTTCAGTGAGTTCTGCAAAATGTTTGAAAAGACAAAGTATCTACTGTGTTTGTTCTTATATGTGTAATGGTACATACACAAGTAAAGGATACTGCAGGATTGCAGCCTCAGAGTAAGGTATGAAAAACTTGTTTCTTTACATCAGCTCATTTATTTAATCCAAAGCATAAAGACAAAATAATCCACACACACAAAAAAATGTCATATTTTCAATATTTTGGGATTTTTCCTTCCTTATTAGAGATCCTGGTAATTGTGAAAATGCATTGGACATACATGAAACTTTGATAAAAAAAAGTTTAAATTTAAAAAAAGAAAATTTGACATCATCATATACATGTACACACATATATGACTCATATGCTTTGGATATTGATGAGAAACAAATATTGATACATAAGTCATTTTGATACATGCTGATATATCAGATTTTTGAGTGGGCTACCAGGCCTGAAAAGCTTTATTATAGCGAACCACAAATGATGATAAAAATCAATGTAGGCAGACCTACATTAGGTACCCCTCCCCCTCTTTTTTATGGGTCAGTTGTTATTGATCTTCATTGTTTTACCCTACTCCTAACCTAAACCTGATGCCCAAATGCACAAAGTCTTCTAAAATATAAAATTAAAAAAACTATTACTCTCACTTTCTAGATTAACATTCATCTTGCAGTCCTCACAGGCACTTTACTCTTTTAATCATGATTTGGTATAGAAATCCTGAGGAGTAAATGTAAGGTGACCTACTGTCTTCAGATATCTATTAGACATTAAAGTTAAACACAGATATTGACCCACATGAATATTATATTTATCCTTCAAAACCATTCATTCATAGTAGAAGGATATCAACTATACTCCCCTCCCCTCATTTTTCAGGCTATACATTTACAGAAATGTGAAATTTAGACTCAGTAACTGCTTTTAGTAACTGTAGTAGATTATACCAGCAAGTCACAGTAACCCCAATACATATCATCCCTGACTCTTATTCTCATTGACACACACAGCACATTAATGAGTAAATTAATTTCAAATGGTTTGCATTCAAAATCTTATTAAAAATTTATGGTTAGAAAGTTTATTTTAGTGCAATGATTACTACTAGACCTATGGAGTGTTATTAACGCTAATGATGAAAGAACCATGTGTATATTATATTTATCCTCTACTTTCTTTCAGTTTAGGTAAATTGGCGCAACTATGACCCCTTTCCTTTCATTTTTCAGGCATTCTTGATCTGAAATCTACCCTGCTTTCAGTAACTGTAACTGATTACACCAGCACGTCTCTGTAATCGCTCCACAGTAATCCCATTACATATAATCCCCAACTCCTAATCTCATTGACACACAAGGTACATGAAGGAGAGGAAATTAGTCACAAATGATTGGCATGAAATGCCTGATCATCTCATGGTCTCTGAAAGGATAGAAATAACTGTCACATACTTTGTCAGATGCCCATGCCCTTGACAGCTTTGATAGCTTTGTTGTGGATTTTGTTTGCAGTTTGGAAACAAAAATACACTGTTGTTCAAGTTTTCAATTATAGTTTTCTTGGCTGTTGCTGACCTTTCTTTAACCCCCTAATTCCAACCTAACCTGGTCTTAACCCTGGAAAAGTCCCTTAAAAAAGTGGAAAAAGTAAAATTCTTTTGCTTTTCAGGACTATCTGCATTTTCATGTTCTCATAAGCACATTCAGTCCTTTTAATCATAGAAATAAAACTTGGAAGTTGTATTGAAATCCTAGTTGAGAAGTGAATGTGGTGTGGCCTGCTTAGATGTCTGATAGACGGCCATGAGGCTCACAGCAGCCGTCATTGTCCCCGTGCAACGCAGTGAGTAGTAATTAAATATGCCACTTATGCTTCACTGATTCATTTCCCTCACAATTTTGAAGCTCAGCTGAATACATTTTTCTGTGCAGAAGGGCTGTATTGTATCCAGTATGGCCTCATTACAAGGGCAGAAGGGCTTGGTGTGGGGGAGGGCAGAGGCACAGAGGGGGGAGAAGCACCCCATGAAGACATTGTGCTTAACATCACTAAATACCTCAAACGCCACATTGTCCTTCCCAGCCCTCAATTAGTTGGGGTCCTTGTACAAAGCACCGATTTCATACAGGGAGATTTATTTTTAGAGAAAATCCGGCCCTGTGCAGGCAGGAAGCTCTCTGAAAATCTAATGAAGAACACAGCAGTCATGCAGAGTTGTTAGTCTCAGAGCAACATCGGTTAACAAAGCTTCTCTTCAGTGTCTCTATGTGTGTTTTTGATGACTGCAAAAGGCTAGACTTCTCCGATTTTTTGTTGTGGCGGCTCTAACTGTAGCCTGCTCTATCTGAGCTGGACAGTGTCCAGTCAAAGAGCCTCTTTGCCCTGCCCTCAGGCCTCTTCAGCTTGTGGATCTCCGTGCGGAGGAACGCCTCTTTGGTGGCTGTGACAGAGAGAATTAGGCAAGAGATGCGGGTTCACTTGCCCTGCGTAGGGGCTTATCTTGGGCTAAGCTGAGGGACTAATAGCAAAGCCAGCCTCCGCTCCAGCCGGTCTGAGGGCACAGGGAACCATCTGTCCACTCTGTGGATAGCTGACAACAAAGGGGGCAAACATTGAACACGGACTACAAACTAAAAGGCCGTTCATTTAGGTGATACCAGAAATACAGAAGAGGAGCAAGTATTTTGTATATAAGGTCAGTACTTTGGAACTAATCATTCTTGTTGCATTACAGGCCTCTCACTGAGCCACAACTACAAGTGCCAGACTCCTTCACAGCTTAGTTTCTACTGGTAACAATGCAGACTGTAGTAATGTAAGGGTTTAGAAAGACACAAAGTTGAAGTTTAACTTTTAATTCAGTCGCCCTTTTCGGTTCTGTACATTTAAAGGGAAACAAAGAGTCCGTTCTTCATTTTAATGCACCACTCCTGACTCCTATTAGTTAATTTGTGCTGGTTGTGTGTCCGGACTCTGCTGTGTTGTAAATGCATTTTGTTGCACTGTTAACTTCAGAGATAGTTTGGGCTACAATGACTTATCACACTAAACCAAACATGAATCTGTGATAGTGTTACCTTTGTGTTGAGGGAGGAATGCCATGCTGCGTGGCCCCATGCTTACAGTCTGATATTTGATGGTTATTAATAGGACGTTACTTTAAATATTTAACAAGTGATTAGTCATGGGTTAGTGGAAATCTTTCATTATGATAAAGATAAATAATTTAACACGTTTCAAGATATATAGAACAAAGTCTGAATTATTGTCTGTTTGGGAGCTTTGCTCACTAAACAGGAGCTCTATTGTATGCGATAATCTTGTAGAATACAATAATCTTTGCATTACAATTTCCAGAATGTAAAAAATCCTTTGTTTTAGCCTCAAATATGGAATATATTTTCTAATGAAACCCCTCAAGTAATCCACTTAGACAATGTTCTCCA